CAATTGGTCCAGTGGTGAGAATCTTTGTCTTCTTGACATTGAGCCTCAGTCCATACTGAAGGCTGCAGTCCTTGACCCTCTGCAGCAAGTGCATGAGGTCTTCCTCAGTTTCAGCAAGCAGGGTTGTGTCATCTGCATAAAAGATTGTTAATAGATCTTCCACCAATCCTGATAAATCATATATTTCCTCCCCTTTGGCTCTGGTTGTTGGTGTGGATATAAATAAATTCCTTGTCCAGAAACACATGGTTTGTAGTTAGAACAATTCTCACAGAGTAATTACTTAAGAAGCCAAGATGTTGCTAGGAGGGACTATTCCTTGGAGAAAGACATGGCACGAGGAAAAGTAGAGGGTCGGTGAAGGATAGGAAGATCCTTAACTAGGTGGATTAGTATAGTGACTGCTGCAATGGTCTCTTGTGTATTAGGAGATATGAGGATAGCACAGGATAGAACAGGGTTCAGATCTTTTGTTTTTTGGTCTCTGTAAAGCAACAAATCAATCTATCTATCTATCTATCTATCTATCTATCTATCTATCTATCATCTATCTATCTTATGTTCTATCTAATATTCTAATAGTGACTCTTAGTGACACTATGTACAGCAGCTCTGAAGCCTGCTTTGTCCTGAACAAGTCTCAATGAATCTAACACCTACCCCTCAATTTCTCCAGTCACTGTATCAATTCATCTCATCTGGAGTCTTCCTCTCCTCTATCTTTCCAAACTTGATGTGCTTTTCCAGGGACAAGTCCCTCCTGGCATTGTGCACAAAATATGTGACACAGAACTTCACAATCCTAGCCTCCAAGGAACAACCTCATTCCACCCTTTCCAGGATTGAATATGTTTGTTCTCCTAGCAGTACATGGTATATTCAATACTCTTGTCCAGCACCACAACTCAAAGGTATCAATTCTTCTGTCATCCTTAGTTATTGTCCAGCTCTCTGATGCATAGCAAGTAATTGTGAAGACCATGGCCTGAATTAAGCACACCTTAGTCTCAAGACTGATATTATTGCTTGTCAATACTCTAGAGAAGTTCCTGACAGCAGATTTTCCCAGTGAAATTTGTCTTATGATTTCCTGATTTCTGGTGCCAAAAGTGTTGTTTGTAGAGCCAAGCTAGCTGTAATTGTTAACAACCTCAATCTCTTCTCCATATGTAATAGTGCTACCAGTTGGTCCAGTGGT